CAGTATTCCAGGGCCTGGTAGGAAATTAAGCTGCTCTTCAAATAGAGAATAGCTGATGGCCTAAAAGGGCACCGTCTTCCTTTAAAATCCTAGGGATCTACACTCTAATAATCTTACTGGGGCTTGCCAGAGGATTCATATGACATACAGTCTGCTGCAGACCCTTCCAATGCTTCTGAGACCACTGGTTATAATTATCCAAGTGAAAAGACAACTTGCATTGCAACCTGGAATTGCTGCAGAATGTTTCCTTGTTTCGGGCCATACTAAAAGCTTGATGGGTTACTGGTAAATGGGTCAGAGTAGCACATTAAAATGTGTTTTAGGTTGCCTCAAATGCCAAAGAAGCTCATTCTTCCATAAAGAGGTTTGTCTCTTTTTTATTGTGGTGGATATTCAAGGTTAATTAATTTGTCTCACTTTAGAGAGGGCAGCTTAACATGCCACAGATAACTGAACCCTAGAAACTTCATTAATGTAGCAGGACTCTGACCTTTCTTGACATTCTTCTTCCATGCATGTGCCTTGAGACCTCTAGGGTACATGCTGTTCTGCCCACCATATCCAGTTGCCACAATATCATCAAAATAATGGACCGTTGTGATTTCCTGTTTCCTCTGATGTCTTGGATTGAGATCTGAAATGATGAGGCTCTTTGGCTTCTTTGGAGGACTCCTCATGCTTTTGTGTTGATTTGTGGCTTTGAGCATGTGTTTGTAAGCTGTAATAAGCACGGGCTTCAGGTCAGAATTAAACAAAAGCCTTATTTGTATTACCAGCAACCCCAGTCTTATGAAATATACGTGGGAACTGGCTGTCCTACAACACGATGGCTGTTGGATTTCTTTGAGTTCCTTTACCCTCTCTCTTCTTGTGGAATCAAAGCTGAAGGGTGCCCATAGGGTATTTTCAATGAAAGTCAATCACTTGGGGCGCCTGGGTGGCTCAGTGGGTTAAAGCCTCTGCCTTTGGCTTGGGTCATGATCTCAGGGTCCTGGGATCGAGCCCCGAATTGGGCTCTCTGCTCTGTAGCAAGTCTGCTTCCCTCTCTCTCTCTCTGCCTGCCTCTCTGCCTACTTGTGATCTCTGTCAAAGAAATAAATAAAATCTTAAAAAAAAAAAAAGAGGGGTGCCTGGGTCGCTCAGTGGGTTAAGGCCTCTGCCTTCGGCTCGTGTCATGATCCCTGGGTCCTGGGATGGAGTCCCGCATTGGCCTCTGCTAGGCGGGGAGCCTGCTTCCTCCTCTCTCTCTGCCTGCCTTTCTGCCTACTTGTGATCTCTGTCTGTCAAATAAATAAATAAAATCTTTAAAAAAATAAAAGAAAGAAAGAAAGTCAATTACTTATGAGCCAGCAAATTTAAATATCACTGGTTACCTCCCAATATCATACTATAATCAAAGTAAGTTTTTGTTCACCTTTGGGCAAAAAGAGATCAAGAATAAAAGTCGTACACATGGGGAACCATCCCAAGGGCGAGTGGGACAGGAAAAGTCAATATTACCTCAAATGGAAAATGTGGGGACTCATCCACAAATGTCTTTTAGGTATAGTTTCCCCCCCTTTGAACCACATAAACTTTACCCTTTTCTGTAACGGGTGGGAATTAACCTATAAATTCTAGACGGTGAGGCAAACTTGCTGGCCTTGGCATGGTGACTGTCCGAGGATTGCACTGTGTATCAGAAGCTGCATGGTGCCCATGGATATCATCTTTTACCAAGTCATAAATGTTAACTTTCAATGCAGAACTTGCTCCAATGACTATATTTATGAACTCTTTGGGTAGAGGAAAAAAGAGTTTCCCTAGATTTCAAATTTGTAATAAAGGCCTATTTAAAAAGAAAAATGGCCTCAGGGATGTCTGAGTGGTTCAGTCGGTTAAGTGTCTGCCACCAGCTCAGGTCATGATCCTGGGCTCCTTGCTCAGGGGCACCCTGCTTCTCTCTCTGACTGCCACTCCTCCCACTTGTACTTGTTCTATCTCTCTCTCTCTCTCTCCCTCTCTCTCTCACACACACAAATCAATAAATAAAAATCTTTAAAAAAAAGAAAAAGAGAAATGACCACCACCACAACAGATAATGGATCAGTGTGATTTTCTGTGCAATGGCAAAGTAAAAAATATCTTTCTAAGCTGCACTTTTACAGAGAAAAGGAAACTTGGTGGAACCTTGTTTCTTTTTCACCTTTTAAAATATGTTGGGTCGCCTGGGTGTCTCAGTTGTTAAGCATCTGCCTTTGGCTCAGGTCATGATCCTAAGGTCCTGGGATCGAGCCCTGAGTTGGACTCCCTGCTCTTCGGGGTCCTTGCTTCTCCCTCTCCCACTCCCCCTGCTTGTGTTCCCTCTGCTGCTGTATCTCTCTCTGTCAAATGAATAAATAAAATCTTTAAAAAATAATAAAAAATAATAAAATAAAAAATGTAAGTACTAGAACATTTTTTGAAAATTTTAAGTTACATATATAATTATAAATTGTATTTCTACTGAACAACACTGATTTAGAAAATGCTTTCTTTTCCATTCTTATCAGGGAAGATATCTGGAAGAAGTTTGTATTCACATGGCAGAGATAATAATATATCTTAAAACTGTCTTATTTCAATTGTGTTTATATATATTCGTTTTTAAAAAGATTTATTTATTTATTTTAGAGATAAAGAGTGTACACAAGTGTGGGGAGGGGCAGAGGGGAAGAGAGAATCCCAAGCAGACTTACTGGCAAGCATGGAGCCCAATGCACGGCTCAATGTGGGGCTCAATTGCACGACCCTGAGATCATGACTTGAGCCGAAATAAAAAGTCAGAACCTTAACCAACTGAGCCACCCAGGCACCCCTAGAGTTTATAGATATTCTTTATTTAGTGTACCTTCTTTTTCTTTATTTCTTGCACTTTCATTTCCTCTTTAAGAAATCTTTTCTAACCATTAGGACATGAAGGTATTCTTATATTATCATCTATTCTTTTTAAAGATTTTGTTTTATTTATTTATTTATTTGAGAAAGACACAGAGCATGAATCGGATGGAGGGCAGAGGGAGTGGGAGAAGCAGATCCCCGCTGAGCAGTGGTCTCCATATGGGGCTCGATCCTAGGACCCCAGGGTCATGCCCTGAGCCAAGGCAGATGCCCACCGACCAAGCCACCCAGGTACCTCAATACCACACTTTTTTTTAAGATTAATTACTTATTTATTTGATATATATAGAGAGAGAGACAGCAAGAGAGGGAGCACGAGCAGGGGAAGTGGGAGAGGGAGAAGCAGGCTTCCCATCAAGCAGGGATCCCAGTGTGGGGCTTGATCCCAGGACTCTAGGATCATGATCCGAGCAAAGGGCAGATGCTTAACGACTGAGCCACCCAGGTGCCCCACCACACTTTCTTAATTACTACAGCTTCCTACTGGGTATTGATAGCAGGTAGAGCAATTCATCCCATCTTCTTCTCGGAAACATCTTTTCTTATATTCACTTTTTACATTTTTTGCTGTGAGAAGTTCATAGTTATTATTTATTATTGAAATATATCTTATAGCTGGGAAAGTCTGTAAACTTAGGTTTATAACTACTTGATCATTAGTATAGGCATAAAACTCCATAACTCCTTAGAGAAATCTAAATCCTGATTTCTGCCCATTTGCTTACACCGAGTATCCAGTGAGTGTGAGAGTACTTAAGATGTATAAAGCTCTGCAAACAAGGTATTCTGGTATTCAGCTGGGCTGAGTGCAGGTGGTCAGATTACCTACTCCCTTGCAGATTTTCAGCTACCAGGAGTAAACTGGCAAGAGCCATCAAAAATTTTTTTTTTATTTGACAGACAGAGATCACAAGTAGGCAGAGAGGCAGGCAGAGAGAGAAGGAGGAAGCAGGCACCCAACTGAACAGAGAGCCCGATATGGGGTTTGATCCCAGGACCCTGGGATCATGACCTGAGCCAAAGGCAGAGGCTTTAACCCACTGAGCCACCCAGGTGCCCCAGCCATCAAAATATTTAATGTGTGTACACTTTAGTTACAGCACTTCATCTTGATTCTTGGGAGGAGGATAAATGGGAGATGGCTGGCAGGAAGACCCTCATAGAACAGTAGGGTCCAGGCATGTCAGACACGGAAGGGCAAGCAACTGGACCACACAGTGCAGGTAGGTGTGGGTGGGGAAGGCTGCATCCCAGCTGTGGTCTTTCTCTCACTTTCCCCACTTCAGGTCACTGGAGGGAAGACAAGACTGTTATGCCCGAATAATGGGTCCGTGATTAAAGGAGTGAGACTGATACAAAGCGAAAGTCAAGCAAAGCTTTATTTCGCGCCAAGAATCAAGAATCAAACTGGCCGGCCAGGGCCAGTTACCTCTTACAAAGAGAGGGCGACCCTTCCCTGCTTTCCACACTAACTTTTATAGAGCAAAGGCCATGTGGTTGGGCCTGGCCACACATAGGTGGCTAATTGAATTACAGTTCACCCCACAGTAGCCATAGGAACTAGCCCATTACCTTGGTAGCTAGGAGACAGTATGCACCCCCACTGATCTGATGTCTCCACCTGGCCTGATCCACCCTTGTATTTGAGCTTTGTTACCTGAGGCTGGTTTCTGGGACTTGTTTTTAAGTAAGTCCCCTGGGGGAAGGGGAGCAGGGACAGTTTTAGGGTTAAACAACAAAGTTATTGTTTAACCTCAATGGAAGCCTCTGGCTAAAATATAAAAATATAAAATAGGTCCTTACAAAGACAAACCCCAGCCTTCTACCAGCACCGAAAAGCTGTGTCTTTTCCCTGCACACCTGTTCGGGTCCACTCCTACTCTCTCACGTTAGGAGCTCTGGCCATGTCCAAACCACACCCATCCTGCCTCAAGACAAATCATAGAAAGAGTCTGCATGAAAGTCCACTTTAATGATCCAGATTAGGGTCATCCTAGAACCGCCCCTCTTGAGGGTAGACCGGAGGGCACTGGGGCAGAGGGGCTCCACCTGAGGTCTCAGTCAGCAACACTGAGGTCTCAGTCAGCAACAAGACTTTGGCCCACAGTGGGGGGTGGCTCAAAGAAGCCCTAAAACAAGAAGAAACAAAGGATTGGAATCAGTATATGGGGAGGTGGTCCCCTTCCTTACCTACTCTCCTTCACAAAATGCTTCAATAAGAGCCTGATTTATGTAAGCTACAGTGACTCAGCCCAGCCATTGTCTGTCCCCTTGGCTCCCACAAATAGTTCACCCTCCCTCCCAGGCTTTTCCCTTGGGCTCTGGGCTGGAGAAGAATGGCAGCACCTTGTTTGCATTCACAGAAACACCATGGCAACCATCCCTCACAAGTGGGTCTGTCACTTAGCTCTAAATGCCTCGACCCAGCAACCAATCCAGGCTTAGGAAGACCAGCTGTCACTTGATGGAGTGAGAACAGGTTTCCTAGGAGAGCCCGAGGGGCTGGAAGCCCCCTGAGGTGCAGGTTCCTTGCAGGCTCTCAATTTTCAAGCTTGCCCTTCTCACAGATATTATACCCCAATATCACAAGAGGTGCCCCTTGAAATCCAGTATCACATTATGAAATCCCCTTCCTTGAAAGTTCACTGCATTTAAAATACAAACTTTTCACTATGATCCATGAGCCCCTGAATAGTCATTCTGGGGCCTATTTTCCAACCTAATCTTCTGCCACTGACTTTTCCATCCGTTCCTTACAGTGAATGGTATACCTGCCTTGGGCCATTTGTCACAGTAGTGTCCTCTGCCTGGGATGTCCATCCCTTATACCTTCCTCTGGCTGCCACCTTCTTGCAATTAAGTCTTAGTTCAAACAAACAAACACACAAACAAAAAGACTTTCAGCAGTGTGGAGGAGTCTGACCTTTGGAACAGCCCAATTCTCACTGCAGTCCCTGAGAGGAAGGGCAGGGGCTACGCAAGGAAAAGGTCCAGGAATCAGGAGACCTGGGTCTAGTCTTGGCTCTGCCATGAACCTGCTGTGCAGCTCTGAGTGAGTCCCTTGATAAGCCTAGGCCATGTCTCATCTATAAAGATAGATGGGAGGGCACCTGGGTGGCTGAGTGGGTTAAGCCTCTGCCTTCGGCTCAGGTCATGATCCTGAAGTCCCGGGATCGAGTCCCACATCGGGCTCCCTGCTAGGCAGGGAGTCTGCTTCTCCCGTTGACCTTTCTCCACTCATGTTCTCTCTCTCTCATTCTCTCTGTCTCAAATAAATAAAATCTTAAAAAAAAAAAAAAGATAGATGGGAGTGTTAGATGGGTGTTTTTTTTTTAAGATTTTATTTATTTATTTATTTATTTATTTAGAGCATGAGCAGGGGGAGGGGCAGAGGGAGAAGGAGAGGGAGAATCCCAAGCAGACTTTGTGTTGAGCATGGAGCCCAACTCAGAGCTTGATCTCATAACCCTAAGATCATGACCTGAGCTGAAATCAGAAGTTGGATGCTTAACTGACTGAGCCACCCAGGCGCCCCTAGATTGGGGTTTTAAGTTTAGATTCTGAAGCATTCAGGCATCTCAAGGAGATAACCTAGAGCCTTGTCCAGGTCACATTGCCCAGGTTATGGAGTAGGGCAAAGAGAGGAGGGAGTGCTGAATATGAAGGCCTCTGGGCTACCTCTCTCATTGATCCAAAAGAGCCTTCCTATCCCTTGCTATATGCAAAGGAGTATATGGAGACAGATGGACTTTTAATTTAACTTTTTTTAATTTGGCAACTTTCAATGCCTAATTGAGACTTGGCAATTTTCAATGCCTATTTGAGACTCAATGTCTATGCACAATCTTTAGATCATCTCATCCTTAGAGGCTCCTAGCATCTGCCCTCCCAACTTCTTGTACTGATACCCACAGGTGCTTCTGTGAGGGAGAAGGAAGATGGGATACCCTTTGATTGGGAAAGGAAAGAACTTTCCTTCAGCTTATCTGTTCACACCTCAATATCCATTCCCTTCTTCATAGGGGCCTCCCTCATGTAAACACGTTGTTGGTAATTCCAACCACTGGAGAAAAAGTAAACTCTTTACCTCAACAGGGTTGACAACCTCTCATTGAAGGGTCTTCAAATCCACTTTGGTGGTAAAGCACTGCTCTCTCTTCACTTTGGCCATTGAGGTCTGGGAGGTGGGAAGCCAGGAGTCAAGAATAAGGCAGAAAAGGATGACAGGGCTCCAGAAGGGAAAGGAATAGGACCCAAAGTCAGGGATTGAAAAATCTAGAGGAGACACATAAGTCTTACCTTGGGGAATAGGAGTCGAAGTTTCTCCTCTTGCTTGCCCCTAAAGATACAGGAATGACAGACGGAAGCTAAACTTGCTAACACCCATCTCCTCTCCCTTTGCAGATATCACTTATGGCTAATGGATTTGTTTTTCGTGGATCCCAGACAGAACCTCTCATAGATCATTCTCATAGTCCTGATGGCAGTTTTAACATCAGTTCCCTCTCTGCTTTCTGTCTGCTATACAGTATGGACCAACCATAAGTCTCACGAACCTTATTCCAGTGGTTTTCTTGGGAAATGCTGCCTGCCCCTGCCTCAGACATGGATCTGTGGGGTGGAGTCTGCTGCTGTGCTTCTGGGTCATCATATCCTGGATAATGTCATCCTTCCAGAACAAACCTGCAGGGTAAAAAGATGTGGTGAATTGACACCCAGGACACACTGACTAGTCCACTCCAGGAGCCAGAGTGAGACCAGCAATCCCTCTCTTCCTCAAGTAGATAAAGAATCACACTTGTGCAGAGAACTAAATGAGCTGGTGTATAAAATTGCTTAGCATAGAGTCTGGTGTATAGTAAACCTTCAACTAGGATTGTATTCTGTTTGCTGATTCATTTGGTGCTATTGTGAGGACTAAATGAGATTTGTGGTGTACATGCTTAGAAAACTAGGCAGTGATTCCTAAACTTTAGTGTGCATCAGAATTTCCAAATTCTGGAATTTCCAATTCCAACAAATTAGGGGTACCTGGGAGGCTCAGTCGGTTAAGTGTCTGCTTTCAGCTCAGGTCATGATCTCAGGGTCCTGGGTCCTGGGATGGAGCCCTGAGTTGGGCGCCCTGCCCAGTGGGGAGTCTGCTTCTCCCTCACCCTCTCTCCCGCCCCCACCCTACCCATGCTCTCTTTCTCTCTCTCAAATCTTTAAAAACCAAAAATCCCACAAATTACTGTTCCTCACCCCCAGAGTTTTTGAACCCCAGGTCTGGGGTGAAGCTCAAGAATGAGCATTTCTAACAAGTTCTCTGGTGATGCTGATGCTGCTGGTCTTGAGATACTCTGTGAGAACCACTGCTTTAAGTTATTACACATATATTAGACATCAGTAGTAGTAGCAGTAATATGAACTCAAGGTAGATTTCCTTTCTGACCCTTCCCCCATCCATGAAATTCTACACTAAGGCAGGTCAGTCATCTGTCTCCAAGGGACTTTTCACTCCCTTTCATTCCTCCTGTCCACTTGTTATGCCGTTTGCTCTGCTTTCTTCTCAGAGGCTGAGGGGTGCATATGTGTGTTCTTGAGAACCTAAGGATTGCTGTCTATGAAAAAGCTCAGATACCACTGGGGTTGGGACTCATCAGAAGGAACTGGATGCTGGCCTCTTCCAAGGGTTTCTTTCTTTTTTTTTTTTTTAAGATTTTATTTATTTATTTGACAGATGGAACACAAGTAGGCAGAAAGGCAGGCAGAGAGAGCGGGAGAAACAGGCTCACCACTGAGCAGAGAGCCCGACGCAGGGCTTGATCCCAGGACCCTGGGATCATGACCTGAGCTGAAGGCAGAGGGTCCAGCCCACTGAACCACCCAGGTGCCCCTTCCAGGGGTTTCTTCTAGAAGTCTCTGCTGGGATCCTCCAGGGTGTTCAAGGGCAAACAGCCTACCCATCCAACTCCACTCCCCATTCCAGTCATACCCCCTTCTCCATGAGGTGAGCATGACAGGAAAGTTTCAAGTAGAGACATCTGGGGAAGAAAGCTCATCCTCAGATCAAACAGCCCCTCACTCACCCAACCTTTCTGATCATGTCCCAGCCTCTCTTCCCCAGCCCTTACCCACCTTGGGACACAATCTGCTGGAGTACAACTTGTAAGTGCTGGAAGACTGGAGTGGCAAACCCTTGGAGGGGCCAGAGCTGCCCCACTCCCACTTGACCCTGACCATCTAAGAGTCAGAATGGTGAAATCAGCAAGGAACTTGGCCAGAAGCCTTTCAGATCCCAGCTGAAGAAAAGCAGCTTTCTTCCACTATCACTCCTGTGTTTCCTGGTCTCTGCCCGCCTCACCAGACCCCTTCTTCCTCTCAAGTCCTTCTTTTCATTTTTTCCTTCCCCCATCACCACTCACCCTGTTCTTCAGAATCGCATTCACCTTTGATGTCAACTTCCAGATAAGAACCATGCTTACAAGCAATGAGCAGCCTGTGGGGGATGAAGTGAACAGAGACTCAGAAAGCTATAAACATGGAAAGGATAATCAGGCAAACAAATGGGGCATGGGAAGCAGGTAAACTGCATCTCAAAGCCTTGGGTGCCTGGAGGGGATTAGAAAGGAGACCTGGAATCCTTTGAGGAAGAAAGTATTTGTATGTATAGGGTTTGTGTGTCTGGATCTTCGTCCTGAAAGCCAGTTTATCTAACTGTGCATAGGGGAATGACAGAGTGTGGGGGAGGATAATCCCTAAAGCTATAACACCTTCATTAATCCAAGTAGATGGGGTAGAGTTAACATAGAGTCCAGTTTTTATATAGTGGAATTACCATAAGTCATTGTGGACAGGCGTTAAGAAAAGGGAATGGTCCTCCAAAGTCAAATGGATTCCCATACCAATTTCCTGTTTTTTGGAAGGAGCAGAACCTCTAGCACCCTCATGAGAAAGAAAAGAGCTTCTTCTGGAAGGGGAGATTGTTGTCTGAGGCATCGCTCCAGGACTGATAGGGAAAGTGGTAACCTGGACACCTGGACATTATATATATATAATTCCATATATATAATTCACACCTCCTCTATGGAGACCCACAGGGAGGTTGGCGCTGTCCGTGGTGCTGAGGGAGTGACCGGAGCCTGGCTTAAGAGGCGTCTGGGCGGCAGAGAAGACGAGGCATCCCTACAGTAACGTCCCCTTACACCGCCACACACACATCTCTTCTGTCATCCGCCACCAGGCCTCCTCCCACAGTTCTTCGCGAGCCCTCTGCAATGGCCTCTAAACCCAAGAATCGGGCGGAGAAAGTTGGCGTCAGACTAGGAGTTTGCGCGCTCTTTCCCACACGCCTGGCGCTGGAATCCTCGAGTCTGCTCAGGCGGTCTCTGGCCGCTCAGACCTGAGTCAGCGCTGGTCTACCCCAAAGGCTCAGAGTGGAGGGAGAGGAAGGATGGATTCTTACCCCCTCTATTCTCTTTTACCCTACTTTAACAATCCCCTTTCTATCAGAAATCAGAGAGCAAATACCAGGCTCTGAAGGCTTTTGATGAAATCCTAGCTCGTTTCTCTGCCCAGCTCTCTGTCTGGAGCCAGGACCGGGTACCCGTGCGTCCCTGTTCCTATCATCCAGAAATCCGGGTCCCCTTCCTATCCCTCAGCCCTGGTCATCTCTTCCTTGGCCCCTCGGTGCGTCTTACTTCTCCTATGGCGGCATAGGCGGGGCTTACTTCCCTCCGCCCACTCGTCTTTCCATCCTCCTACTGGATCCCCAATCTTCCCCTGAGGTCGCTTCTCTTAAATCCAATCCCATATGCGGAGCCCCACCTCAAGCCCGCGTCTCTTTCTACAAGACGCTCTCTATATTCATCTCTTTTCGCGCTCCCCAACACATCCTTTTCCTCCTGAGTTCCTAACCTTGAGGCCCCTTCACCCACTTCTCTCAGGAGACCTCTCTGGCCTGCCCGCACCGCCCCTACCCTAACCCCCGGGTGGCCACTAATGTTGTTGCAGCCCCCTGGGCGGCTATTCAGAAGCAGGAAGCAGTGGAGCAGCCAGACCCCCACCTCCATCCCCTAGAGTACAGCAGGTGCTGCATCCTCCCCAGCTCCGCGCGCTTGTCCCCCCTCCTAAATCTCAGAGAAAGTTGAGACAGCAGCTGGAGAGGCTGAGCGGGACTGTAGTTTCCCACCCGCAACGTGGCTGGATCTGCACAACCCTCCGTTGGCAGCTTGGCCAATCGCGGTTGGTCCCTGCCCCTGAGGACGTGTAGCCAACTCCTCCTTCCCTTTACCACCCGCAGAGCCATCCCAACTCACCCCCAGGTGCCCGCTTCTTTACCCAAGTCCCAAGGACCACTGCCTCTACTCCCAGTCCCAAAGTTGTACAAAGGGATTGCAAGTAAGATGTGGGTGTGCGTGGTATCTTCCTCATAAGCTTGTTATGAGGATTAAATATGGATAGTTCCTGGACAGTAGACTCTCAATGTAATTAGTCTGTTTTTATTATCCTTGATGTTTACTTTACCCTCACCTTTTAAAAATCTTCAACATACATGAGTTCAACCTGCAAAATATATCGCACCTCCATCCACTTCTCTCCACATCCACTACCATCGTCTTGGTTCACTGTACTCTGATAATTAGCGAACAAGCTAACTGATCTTTTGCGTCCATTCTTGTTTAGTTATAGGCTAGTGTGTGAGCTTTCTAAACCATAGACTGGCACGTCAACATTGTTTTTTACATTAAAAAAATTTTTAAGTAATCTCTACCCCCAATGTGGGGCTCAAACTCATGACCTCAAGATCAAGAGTCACATGCTCTACCTACTGAGCTGGCCAAGCACCCCACAATGCTTTTTTTTTTTTTTCATTAAGCTTAACAAATTTATTATGAAAATTCTCAAATATTAAAAAAGAGAAGAATCTATGGAACACTTACATGTGTATCATCTAGACTTAACAGTTATTAAGATTTTGTCAGAATTGCTTTTTCCTCTTGAAGTATTTAAAAGTAACTTACAGACATCATGACGTTTCGCTCCTATATAATTCAATATGTCTCTCGTAGAACAAACAATAGTTTCCTACATAACCACAATACCAGACATCTGTGGTGGGCTGAATAATGGCCCCTAAAGATGTCCATGTCGGAGTCCCTGGAACCTAAGAATGTTACTTTATATGGTAAAGGAGACTTTGCAGTGTGATTACTCTTAGAAGTTGGTTAACCTCAGAAAAGATTAGCCTGGATTTTCCAGGTATATGCCATGCAATCACGATGGTCTTTATAAGAGAAAAGCAGGAGGGTCAGAGACAGTAGTGGGAGATGGGACATTGGAAGAAGTTGGAGAGATGCCAAGAAGAGGCTACAAGCCAAGGAATGCAAACAGCATCTGGAAGTTGAAAAAGGCAAGAAAATGATTCTTCGTTTAAGACTCCAGAACGGGGGGCACCTGGCTGGCTCACTGGGTTAAGTAAGCCTTTGCCTTTGGCTTGGGTCATGATCCCAGGGTGCTGGGATCGAGCCTCCACAACTCCCCCTCCTTCTCTCATTCTGTCTCTCACAAACAAATAAAATCTTTAAAAATAAATAAATAAAAGGTAGTTAAGTATTCGAGGGAAATTCGTATGTGAATTATGGGTTCACCTCTCTGTAGCTCACTCATTTCCCAGATTTCCTCCTCAATTTCCAGTTGCTCTGGCAACTGTGTTCTAACCTGTGTTTCTGAGGGTAGTCAGATGGCCACTTTCTGCCTGAGCTCTGTTTCCCCACGTGCTACAGGAAACTGTGAGGTGTCCTTAGGAGAGCCTGTGAAATGTAGGACTCACCTGTGAACTTCCTTTTTTTTCAAGGATTATATTCCCTCTAGCTTTTCTTGCTTTTGGGTGGTCTCCATGCTTTCAAATAGTTATTTTTATATTTCGACTAGGGCATATATATTCAATGTTGGAAGGAGAATAACAAGCTGCTTTGTCACACCAGGAACTGGAGTTTTATCTGATTATCACTGACTTGTGTTATATGTTTGAAAATTGTTTACAGAAATAATTTGAGGCCTAAGAGCAAATGGGTCTGAATCTACTTTGATTCAGGAAAGGAAAAAGGAGCATACCAGGTTTGGGGTAGTTGAGCAGAAATGGCACTGCTTCTCTCTCCCTTCTAAGATTTCAAACTGCTGAGGGAAGTAGCTAACACAATAATAACTTGTGCGCGCATCGATAGGGCTCTTCTTTTTGCTATTCGTCAGAGGGCATCTTAACTTTGGGAGTAATAACCTCAGAAGACCAAGCAGGTTCTCAGGCCTATTGGGCCTGGAGTTCAAAGGGAGGAATTCCCTTTCCTACAAGGAAAAAGATCACCAGAAAGTGTGGTGGGGTAGGAGTGGGTGAGGAAACATGGCAGATCAGCTGTGGTTCCACCCTGCCCTGCATTCACGTGATGAATGATGTCTGGAAGGAGAAAGGGATCAGAAGACAGGCTATCATCTGCACCATCACGACCCCAAATGTCTTCACTGTTCTGGCCCTACATGTTTTACACCAGAGTCTCTGGTTGGAGCCCACCTGTCCTGCCACCAGACAAGCCCATAGAAAGAGTTTTGATAAAAACCCGCTTTAAAAATCCAGAAGCAGGGGCACCTGGGTGGCTCAGTGGGCTAAGCCTCTGCCTTAGCTCGGGTCATGATCTCAGGGTCCTGGGATCGAGTCCTGCATCAGGCTCTCTGCTCAGCGGGAAGCCTGCTTCCTCTTCTCTCTCTCTGCCTGCCTCTCTGCCTGCTTGTGATCTCTGTCTGTCAAATGAAAAAAAATAAAATCCAAAAGCAGGTTGTCCTAGAACTTCCCTTCTAGATGGCGTTGCAGGAGGTGGGGGATAGGGATGCCTCAGTCAACTACAAAGATTTGGGGTGCCTGGGTGGCTCAGTGGGTTAAAGCTTCTGCCTTCAGCTCAGGTCATGATCTCAGGGTTCTGGGATCGGGCCCCACATGGGGCTCTCTGCTCAGTGGGGAGCCTGCTTCCTCCTCTCTCTGCCTACTTGTGATCTCTATCTGTCAAATAAATAAATAAAAATCTTTAAAAAAAAAAAAAGATCTGGTCAGAGAAGGAAACAGTTTATAAAGTTCTGAAGTGTAAGGAAACATGGGATTTGGAATTTGTGTGTATATGTACTGGAGGACTTTCCACCTACAACATAAACTACCTCTCCCCCAATAAATAATGGGCTCTAATAGCAGTCCTGATCTGGGCCCGTCCTGAAGCATAGTGACTCAGGGACTGCCTGACAGCTACTACATGTGGGTCCGGTATCTGATCTTCTCTTCCCTCCCCTGATGTCCTCACAGTTTTAGAGCTAGTCAAGGACCTCGACTTGGGGAAAAGGGGTGGATTCTTTTATGTATACTTTTAGTACCATGGCAACTAGTCTTCACTGTAGGGATGAGTCACTTAGTGCTGCTGATGTCATCACAGCAGCCAATCCCAGCAGATGAAGCACAGTTGCCATGGTGATGGGAGACAGAAGATGTTTCCTTGGAGAGCATGAGGGTCTGGACTCCCTGCTGAGGTTCAGGCTGTCACTGGGTAGAGTGCTTGGTCAGCTGGAAGTACTCAGCTCTATCTGATTGCCCAGTCCAAGCTATCACAGTGTCCCCTAGGCCAAAAAAATACTTCCTCATACTCCCATCTGTTCCATTCTGGCCCTCTTATCAATACATTGTCCAGCAGTGCTAAGGTGGTCTTTTATTTTTTTTTATTTTATTTATTTAACAGGGAGAGAGAGCACAAGCAGGGTGAACAACAGGCAGAGAGAGAGGGAGAAGCCGACTCCCTCCTGAGCAAGGAGCCCAATCTGGGGCTTGGTCCCAGGTTTGTGGGATCGTGACCTGAGCCAAAGGAGATGCTTAACCGACTGAGCCCCCCAGGCACCCCTAGGGTGGTCTTTTAAAATTGTACATCACATCATTCTGTTCATTTCCTTAAAATCCCTAGTGATTTTCCTCTGCCCTTTGTATAAAATCTAGACTCTTTGCTACCAACTGCAAGGCCCCAAATAGCCAGTTCTGGGCTTCCTTCTCCAACTGCCTTTCCTACCACTGGCCGTTCTGTTTGTTCCTCTAATGTGCTATTTTATTCATTCATTCATTCACTCACTCATTCACTCATTCTGCTATTTTAGAACCCAAAATACAATAACTAAAATAAAAAACTTACTGCTCAGTAACAGAATAGGAATACAGAAGAAAGTATCAGTCAACTTGAAGATTGAATAAGTGATCCAATCAGATCAGCAGAGAGAAAGACATCGGGCTAAAAAGTAAACAGCCTCAGGGACCTGTGGGACAATGCTACAAGTCTAACAAGCATGTCACTGGAGCCCCAAAGAAGAGGAGAAAAGGGGGTAGTTCATTAAAAATATTTGAAGAAATAATGGCTGAAGACTTCCCAAATTTGTCAAAAGACAGAAATCTACGGATCCAATAGTTCAGTGAACTCCAAGGGGAACCAGCAACCAAAGGGCTAATGGGGCAGCTAAGCACAGCTGCAACGTTTTCACTGGAATCTGCTTGTTCTGAGACTGCTGTCCACCATCCCATTTCTATAAGATAATATCCTTGCCCGACACCATGATAACAACAGGTGTTGACTTAGTTTTGCAGAGACCCAAGGTTTCAGGAAGAAGCTGGCCAGAACCAGTCAGGACCAAAGGCCACCTCTTTGAAATGAAAAAGCAAAATGAAATGTAACTGCCTTTATTTTTTTTCAAGTTTTTATTTAAATTCATTAATGTACAGTGTAGTATTAGTTTCAGGTGTAGAATTTAATGATTTAGCACTTATATACAACACCCAATGCTCATCACAAGTGCCCTCCTGAATACCCATCACCCATTTAGCCCATCCCCCTACCCATCACCCCTCCAGCCACCCTCAGTTTGTCTATAGTTAAGAGTCTGTTTTCTGATTTGCTTCTCTTTTTTCTCCCCCCTTCTATGTTCATCTGTTTTATTTCTTAAATCCCACATGTGAGTGAAATCGTATGGTATTTGTCTGTCTCTAACTAATTTATCTTGC